GTAGCTAGGGGGGGGGTCGGGCTCTGCTCCCAAGGGACAAGGGACAGGACAAGAGGGAACAGCCTCAAGTTGCCCCAGGGGAGGTTGAGGTTGGAGGTGAGGAACAATTTCTTCTCCAAAAGGGTTGCCCAGGGCAGTGGTGGAGTCCCCACCCCTGGAGGGGTTTCCAAGCTGTGGAGATGTGGGGTGAGGGACACGGGGCAGTGGGGACCTGGCAGGGATGGGGAACAGTTCAATTTGATCTGAAAGGTCTCTTCCAATGATTCTGTGAATTTATTTCCTGCATCCCTATTTCTGTGTTTCCAGTTAAAGCCCCTGCTCAAGATGATCTAGAAAACACTCTGTACCTTGAAATTCTAAGTTCTGAAATTAAAGCATTTTAAAACCTCTTAAATACTCCAGAAAATGAAACCAAAAGCCCAAAGAGCATGTGCTGCAAATCACCTCACACCTTATCTAAGCAATACCAGCACCTTAAATCAACAATAACATGTCAAAAGCTCTGCAGCCTAACTTGTACTGTGGCCCACCCAAAAATTAGGAATGGAACTGAACTCCTCATTCCTCTTGCACATGAGTAAAAAAGGGGTGCAGTAATATGAAAAAACTCCATCTGCTGAACTTAGGATGGTCTTGAAGTTCCAGACTTCTGGTGAATAAAATACTACAGAAGGTCTATTTCAAATTTCATCCCATTTTAAATGAAATAACAGCAGGAAACAATTTTTCTGAAGTAAAGAAGGAAATTGTGATGTCAACTTCTGAAAATTCTTGTGGGGAAGCAGTTTAAAAGAACAATTAGTATTAAATAAGATCAAATAACCATGATTTAGTCCCTTACTTTCAAAGTGAGGTTTTAATAACTATTCATTTCACCTTTAGCAAAACATTCACTGCCAGAGAAGTCACAGGAATTCTGCTAAATCTCTCTCCAACACAATTTAAGAGTAAATCAACTACAATTTTTTTTGGTAATCAGGAAGAAATAAAGTCAAAAAAACAACCCCACAACTTACCTCTAGGACATGCATGAAATCTTTAAATATTCTTTTTCTTTCAGATTCCAAAGTGATGTCTTCAAACGCTGGTTCCTTCACAAATCTATCTCTGATCTGTAAGAAAAAGAGCAATTAAATATAAAAAATAAAAAGAAGCCTTTCAGAAATAATTAATAATTATGAGGATGAGGGGATCAAGGGCACCCTCAG